GTTTGTAAGTTCAATTTATCGGACGGTATGAATCTCACTTTGTTTGATTTTTCCATAATTTCCTTTGTCGTGACTTCCGGTGTCCACTGTTAATTGAATTATGTGATTATGTATTCGTCCCATGGCTTTTAGTGATTTTACGCGATTCAATGTTGGATCGCGAATCGAATCTATTTTCTGAACTCGTACCACTTTTCCGTCTGTTTTGTTTCTCATTTCGTTGATTCGGTCTTTCACATATTTTGAAACTCGCTCATTTTCGGGTTGGTAGGTTTGTATCGACATAACTTCAAATTCACTACATGACCCAACACCTTCACTGATCTGATCGCATTCCTCTACCGATCCTTCCGATTCTTCCGCAACTTCACTTACTTGTTGGGATCTGCACATTTTAGCGAAATGATTGGGTTTGCCACAGTGTTTACAGGTTTTCCCCATCGCTGGACAATTTTTTAGGTGTCCCTGTTCAAACGTCCTTCCACATCTATTACATGGTTTTGTTTTCGTGTTTTGATTCTTGTTATTATTCTGTCTTTTATGCGTTTCTCTTCTATTTGGAGTTTTGGTTGTCCCCTCCAAATTTCGAACTGCCATTACAGGTTCCTGTTTTACCCTCACACCCGAGGTGTAATTGCTACTTGATCCCCCTGTAGCCGCAGCATTAGTCTTCTGAAACGCCATTGTGGTTAACTTGCTATGTTCGAATTTTATAGCCCTTTTTAAAACTTCCACCGGATCTAGAGTTTCGAATGTCAACGTGTCCTGCAATGTCATGTTTTTCATTTTCGAGATGAACAGGTCTCGCACTATTTCATTTTCCAATGCTCCCAGTTCTGATCGGGCTGCTTGAGCAGTTAACGCTGCGTGGAATGATTCTAGAGATTCTCCAGATTCTTGCATTCTCGTAAATAACTTGTATCTTTCGTATGTTACACATTTTACCTTTTGAAACGAGACTTCTGCCAAATCTGTTATTTCCCTGAACGTCATTTTCGATATTTCAACGTGCGGGTTCTTTTGTAGGAATCTCTTCTTTCCCTCTGTACCCAAAGATAAAAATAATCTTGACACCAGTTTCTTTTGTACTTCGTTGTAGAAGACATTGTGTCCGACTCGTGGGCCTCTTGTCTTTCTGTCTTCGTTCTCCAATACTACTCTATCCCTTGCTAGCTTATCTCTAAGAATCCTAGCGTTCCTCGCATCTTCGTTCTCCCCATCCCTGGGCGTTTCCGGGCGTGGTGGTGGTTCCTCTAATATGTCTTTTGGTTCTTCCAAAATAATCTCTGGGTTCACATTTTCTTTGACCGTAACCGCCATGAGAAATTGTTCGAACCAAATTTTAAATTGCCACGGAGGGTCTAGATTCGCTGATGCCCAAAATACCGGAATTCCCATATCCGTTCTGTTGTCTTGAGCTGCGAATCCTGCTGGCTGCGCCATGTGATATGCCTTGCGATATCGATTGAAAACAAGTTGTAATTCAATACTGTATTTTGGATATTGAATTTAGGTTTTCTGTTTCTTTTGTTTTGGTGTTGTACTGAGAGATAGATCATTGTTAAGAACTCTGATCTCTCGCTTAATCTCAGTGTCATCACTTACGTATGACCTTGAGCATACCATAAAATAATGATTGAGCACCAAAGGTTAGCTGTACATACGTATATAAATACTGCTACTGCAGTAGCGGTATGACACGAACAATTGACTTTGATTCTCTTATAGCACTAAATACTGTGAGTTAGTTGTCTTTTTATTGCGTATGGTATTGTGAACTGGAAAAAATTTAATGTTCTTTTGTTTCTGCAAAAACAATGTGTTTTCTACAACTTCATTGTCTGCCTATATTAACATCTTGATCAAAGTATAGATGTTTTAACTATTTCATACGGCTTCAAAGAGTAACTTCATGTCTGAAAGGGTTCAACAGTAGTATTTAAACAACTGCATTTTCCTCTATACAATGTCAATATGGTAGTTTTCAATTTTTAGAATTTTCGAATACCATTCTAATTACGACTGCAATAGCTTGAATATCAAGAATCACGCAAGTATAGCCTTTTTGACATGTCTTTTTGGGTTAACTAGCAAAAAGTAGACAGGTCTTAAAGTACACATTTCTTAAAAAAGACAAATAGAACATCAACCAATTAGAATTGAGATAGAAAACAAACGTTCTAAATGTATGTTTTTCTGGCATACGTTTATTATTCTTATTTCGATTCTGATTGATCAAAATTTGTATTGTCATCTTTTTGACGAGTTTTAAATAAACGTTGTCAATCTTTTGGGACCTCATTTTGTGTTAAACTGCAATTGGAATTCTGAAACTAAGATATACACTCAATGCTAATTTTTGCTAAGATATACACTCAATGTAAAAGTTTTGCTTTTAATTCAAACACCAAAACAAAACTTTATCACAAGATTGGACAGAAACATTTAAAAAAACGGTACATTTAGACGTAATTGGAACTTCAGGCATTACTTGTCTGTAAGTTGCTGCAAAACTTTAGAGTACAAACAAAATTATATCAAAACCGCGCATGTCCCGAGTGACACACAGCCATGATGTTTATAAAATTAAAACCTAAAAACCTCAGAAATGCGCAACTCGTAGATCAAATTCACCGGGGATGATCAGCAGTACATAGAAAAGCTGCAATTTTATTATAGGTTTGAATCGAAACTTAACGTTTTTTCAGCAACAATTCAGTTATAACAAAGTTTTAGTTAAGGTTTATTAACCGTTAGTTATTGAGGTTTCCATGTGTATTTGCTGCTGTTAGATCAATAGTATCAATATTTGTTTGCTTTTTTCGTATGCTTTTTTCCATGTCGGAGAAGCATCGCTGAAGCATTCTAAAGAACTGCTTGAGATTTATACAAAAAACCCAATTTTGCATTCGAATTTTTTTTTTCGTAGATTGTATGTTCGAGCACAGAAGCAAGTTTGCAATCAAAAATGAATAAGAAAATGTTTACTTCAAATTCGTTCTTTTTTGCTATGGAAAACTACATATCATAGAATTTTCATACATTGGATTGTAAGACAAGCCTTTTTTATTAATTTTTTTTTGATGCCAATGTTGTTCTGAAGGAAGCAAAACTTTGAACAATATGTTTCATTTGAGCTTTAAACCAATTTAAGATAATTTTCGAAAAAAAATCGACTGAAAAAATGCTTGTTATACAATTTTCTTTTTGACAAGCATTTTGCATTTTTTCTACAGACTCCGCTTTTGAAACTGTATGATAGAAACTTTTTGTATGGACGTCAAAAAAACCCATACAAAAATTGCTTGGATGCCGTTTAATTTCTTCAATGATGTTCAAATATTGAAGCAATTAAAAACAATTTTTTGCCCTAATTGGGTATTGTTTTGGGGCCTAAAATTTCAAAAAACTGTCAGGTATGAATTTTCAATGTAAAAAATGTAGCCGTTTGAGAGCTGCTAACATTTCAAACTTGCAATAATTAAAACGAACTTTGGTGGTGTTTTATAATTCAACATAAAACAAGCATTCTGCAATCAAAAAATCTATTTACGCTGATAGACTAGTCTCGTCTTTAATAGGTCCAATTATACAATTCAAAGTTTGCTGAACTAAAACTTTTCCAGAAGGGCCGTTGACACGAAAATTGAGAAGCTGGAAGCATCAAAATGGTCATATTGCATGACTTTTTTGAGAATTGACAATAATGAATAAAACTCTACGTTATCACCATCAGGCTTATAACAGACTATAGCTAAATGCTTATCTGGTACTCTTCGATATAATTTCTCAAATCTACTGTTATCCTTATGGATATTATAGTAAAACATCCATTAATGATGATATAGATTACGTGCTATAACTACCAGTTGGAAACTCATACCTATTATAGACATAGCTTACATTGATAAACATATAGAAGTCTGATGATTAAATAAGTATCTATTTATACGTATTGACATATGTACTGGTTCCTATAAAGCACTGTCTCGAATGATTAGAGGTCAGTGTCAGCCACACTTAAACGTAGAGAACTAAATTTAAGTTGATATTAGAATTTGTCTTACTCTCAGCCAGCATACAGATTATCTTCAATGATTAGTTTATATCTCACCAATCAGATGAGGGTATAACATCTACGTTCATGGAGACGTTTTTTATTCGCTGATCTTTTCAAAATTTCCTACAATTTTACTTCAATTGCAGACATTTTTCGACTTTCGCAAAAATTTGCTTAGCGCAAAAAAAATACATATTTTTCCTGCAATTTTTGGTCAAATTAAAAGTTTTTTTTTCATTTGGTGTAGGTAATTATTCAACCCTGCTCAATAAATTCCCGATCATAATGGCAGGTTTTCCATCCCATACATTTCAATCAGCTTCATTAGCGGATTAGATTTGAAACATTGAGTTGAATTGAAATGTGCGTAGAATGTTTAAGCATGTTTTTCGACTACTTATGCGGCTATCGCCTCTAATTTTCAAACTACAGCAACCGAAATTTGGTATGTTTAGGCTTTGCCGCAATTATAAAAGCCGGTCCAGGTTATGAGTTTTTGGTAGCGGAATTATCATCAGTACGACATTGTGAAACTCCAAAAATAAGTCGCGGACCTCGACCCGGGAAACTGAATTGAAGAAAAATAGCTAGTCCAAATAATCTGTTAAACTATGTGAAACGTATCATTTTGTGAGCAAAGTTGCGAAACATATTAGGAACAAAGAAAGAATGGTTGATAGCAATGAGTTATATTTCCAACAAAAAGTGTATTAAAAATGAAGTTAAAAACTACTGTTTATAATTTATTTATTGAAAATAACTTTGATCGTTCAAAAAATGGGAAAATTGTAATCAAATATTTTTGATTGCAATTTTCCCATTCACTCAAATATTTTTGAATTTTCCAGAAAATGAAATTAAAAATCAAAGATAGTTGATTATTACCCATGGAATTTTGTTGAAAGTTCCACCGGAATTATTTTAGCGTAAACTTTTTCAGGCACGTTAGTAGGAAATCGGAGCTATCGGAGCTTTACCCTGACACAATCAATCTTTTTATTATTCCCGAACGGAGAGTTGATTATGGCTTATAGAGAAGCGTATCAAATAGAGAATTGCAACATCGTGGCATTATACAGAAAAAGTGGAAAACCTATCAACGAATTAAAAGCAATAGACGGCGTCAAAGATGTGTACACAGAAAAGGATACGACATCAGTACACTGCTTGCTTGTGGTCACGGCAGAAAGCAAAGAAGTTTGTGAACAAGTAATCAGTGCAGCTAAACGAACAATATCTTCGTATAATACATCGCTTAACAAAATTTTCATTGAAAGTACTCAGAAAAACTATCCGAGTATAATCCAACTGAAGGAAGTTGACAATGAAGAAATCATAGATATGTCAAGCAAAAGCCTTAAGCCTCTTTTTTGTGTGAAGAAAATTGGGTTTGACTCTCCAATTGTTGATAAAAATGGTAAGTAACCGTTTCACTTTCAATTGGAAATCTATTATAGGAAATTGTCGCTGCCATTTTAGTTTGATTCATCCCACATGTTAGAAGAGGCAGTAAGACAGTGCCGAAGTACAACAGTGCCGAAAAAGTAAAATAAATGCTGTTCAACAGTGCCGACAATTATTTTGAATACTGTTTCTACTAATCCCTAATCATTGGCAACATAATTAGTTCAAATCGACGGACGTCGAAAAGTCAAAAATGACCGTTTTAATTGATGCCGCATGTTAAAGAAACAAATTTTCCCCAAGCGCGGCGTCATAATTTTTATGAATCAACCATTAGCTCAGTAAATTGTCAAAATGTTTTTTCACATTTGCTTCAAAACAAAATAGTATTCAAGCAAATTACCTTTATTTGCAAACAGAACTCAAAAAGTCCAAATGACCTCAGTTTTCGGTACTAGTGAAAACATTTTCAATTTTGACACTGTTGTACTTCTGCACTGTTGAACGCCCCCGGTAGAAGAGTTTCGGCCCATTTTTGAATGAAAGTGACGAAATGTTTGTGCTGGGGATTTTTTCTTTTTGAAAAACATTGATGCCCAAAAACATAATTAAAAAGACATTTCACCTGCAAGTATTTGTTCGAACGTTATTGGCCTCGTTAAAAGAAATAGTTACAATGAACAGGGGAGCCCCTGATGCACGAAGGAACGAATGAGCGAAAATTTTATCAGCCAATCAGAGGCTAGTATTCCTAAACGCGAAAGAATTAGGCAATACTTTCCTTCAGTTTTGGAGACTTTCATTGGTTGATAACTTTCGCGCATTCGGTCCTTCGCGCATAAAAGTAGCTCTCATAATAAACACGCAATGTGTTTCTTCCTATTAAAGTGTAAGCTGCAAAATAAATCAATCTAAATTGAATTGACGCAGGAAATTTGCTCTCAATTATACTGTGTTGATTAATATTATCTATAAAAAGCGCACAAAACTTAAAATTAAAAACGCGTTTTTCTAGTGTTTTAAACGCGATTTGAAGCTAAACAAAATGATAAAGGCAAAACTTGCGGACATTTTAAGCAGAAAAAATATATTGTTTTTTTTTCGAATTTCGGGCACCAAAATTCTTCAGTCAATCAAAAACTACGCTGAATCTATTGGGTCAATTGTTCACAAACTTTAAGAAGGGTATAATCTCCAAGAAAACGTAGAAATTATTTTATTTTTGTTTTTAGACATAAAATGTCAGTTTTAATAGAGAAAGTACCAATTTTTTAATTGAAAGCAATTTTAAAACGTTATGCTCACACTTTTAGAGATAATATCTTCATTAAATTTTGTTGCTTTGTATAAGAGGCTCACTTTGATATAAATTTTGTGAGCAATTGACCCAAAAAATTCAGCCGAGTTTTTGATTAACTGAAAAAAAATTCAAAATAATCAATTTTTAGGGCCCGAATTTGGCAAAACAAATTATATCATTTTAACTCTGCAAAATTTTTGAGCAAAATTTGTCGCCATCGTTTTTTGTCTTAAATCAACTCAATTTGAAAAAATGCGTTTTAATTTCAAACTTTTTTGCGTTTTGTGTCCACACAGCGTACAAGGGCACAAAAATGAAAAAAAAACTAGCACATTTTTTTGTCATTTTTTTTTAAAGTAGGTGTACCAATCAGGGCTATATTCCTTATAGATGATTCAAAAATTCAAAATGTCGACCGATAAAAATTTAAAATGTCGATCGAGAAATTCAAAATGTCGATTTTTCAATTTCTGCAATAATGCATACGACGGAGATTACAGACAGCAGAATTGTTTACTAAAAAATTGAGCCGATATTAGGAAAGCTCTTACCAGAGCAATTCAATTCTCTCGCTGAGAAGTTATCACATGAACATTTTAAAGTTCATTTATTCGCCAAATAGTTCGCTCCGCCGACAAACTTGGTTATATTGTCAACCAAATTGGTGTTTCATTGCGATCAGTTTGGCTGGTGATCAAAAATATATCCATTTTGTTGAGATTGCTCAAAATGAGCCTTGATAATGAAAATATGAGATCCTTATCCGAAGTGTAATTTCGTTCCCTAGCGGTGGCGGATCTGGAATTTTTGTGAGGTGGGGTGAGGGCGGGTTCTCAAAAAAAATTTGAAGCAATTTTCGATCTTATGGTTTTAAGATCGAGAAAGTTGATTTTCCGAGCTCTCCCAAAACTCAATAAAAATTCAATTTTGACCAAATATTCTGCGAATAAAAAAAAACAAATGAGGTGTTTTTGGCATTTGTTGGTAAGTGTTGATAAAAAAACTTGTTTTTTTTTCGAAGCGTGCTACCGCCTCAAAACGCCCATAGAAACAGTTTTGAGTGGGCCAGCAAAAACTGGATGTCCTAAAAAGTACCAAATTGACGAACTTTGGGTTTCCAGCGAATAGAATGTCTGAAAAGAAAAAAATCCCCTTACTTTAAAAATGAGTGTTAAAAAATGTGTTCAAAATGTGTTAAGCGAAATTGAGTCAACTACTTTTACTGAATAAATTCTAGTGTTTTCGGTGCTTTTACTTCTAATCCTGTGGTTTTTGGTCAACATGATAAACAGTTGCAGCATTTTTTTGAACGCCTGTTTTGTTTTCTCATCGTCAAAATTTTCGATTTTTTCATTGCCACCATTTTTTATTTTTTTTATTTTCCTCATTGTAAAAATTTTGGATTTTTTTTATTTTTCTCATTGTCAGCGTTTTGGGTTTTTCTATTTTTCTCATTATCAAAATTTTCAGTTTTTCGATTTTTCTCATCGTTAACCTTTTCAACCGATGCTGTTCAGCCGACGTTGGTCACAAAATTGAGAGTACTTAGCCCGCTGATCCTAAAAAAACTAAGATAAAAATTGAAGCATAAATCACTCATTAATTATGACTCATAAAGCTCTCATTGGAGCATAAAGCTCTCATAATTGAAGCATGGGGCATTAAGTCACTTGGAGCGCAAGCAGCATCATGCGTGCGTTTTGAGAACGGGTAGATAAACTCGAGAAATAGTCAAAAGGGGGGAAACTGGAAAGAGCCATTTTTTAAACGTCTTAGAGGTTTCTGGCATCTGCCAACTCTGATTTATAAAAACAAAAAGGTTATGAGAAATATTTGACTAGCTCCTTGTGAGTATTCATCTAAGAGTACCGGATGAAAGAGCAAATGTTCAAAAATAATTTGCAGGAAATAATTTTTTCGTTATTTCTTTAAAAAACCTGAGATATACACCCACGAAGAAAAACATGGATCCAAGATCCGTATTTGATTATTTAGAATATTTAATTAGCGTTCAGTTTTGCGATTTGTCGCTTATTTTGGAAATCAAAATTTGGTAATTAGGCGCAGGTAGAGAGAAGCAGCTTTTGCCGACGGAAAACTCAAGATATTCTGAGTTGAATCACGAAGAAACTCTGAAGGCAAAAGTTAGGAATCGACTTGAAGAAGTTGAGCTCGACGAATCGTGGTTCGAATTTGAAATTGGAAGACTAGTTTTCAGTGCTGTTGACGACATAACAACTGCAGCACCTTGGATTGATCGGGAAAAGTTGAAGCAATTCGGCGAAAACTATTTAAGAAGCATGAATCTGACTCATCGTTTTCGTTACAACCTAAATTTATGTCATTTTGACGCCATGAAGAGTAAATTGTCTAAAATTGGATTCGAGTTGCTGAATCCAAAAAGCCCCGAAAGTTTTACAGCGACGCTCATGGTCTATAATTATTTTAAAGGAGGTGAGTATCTGCGCGAACAGTTTACAGTTGAACTTATTCTAGATGAAAATGATTTGGACGATCCACGAATGACTTCCGAAAAACGAAACGAGGTTCGGAAATTGCTAACAGCAAAAAAAGTTGGAGACATTTTCGAAAACACGGACAGATCGAAACTGATTATAGAGTACTTAAAGTTGAAACACTTACTTGACCCAGAAAATAATCTGCATATAGGTGCTGAAAACGCCTATGACTTGTTGGAAGATGTTATGCATGGAATCATACATGAGCAAAATGAAATGTCAACACCAATCTTGACAAGCCCTCCAGAAAAGGGGGATGAATATCTGAAAAAAGACCGTCCCCGTGTTTTTAGGGTGAAAACGAGTCCTCAAGTTAAGCTATTATTCTCAACACTTAGCGACCGCGTGTTGGACGTTTCGATACTTTTGAAGTGGCTCGACAAGAACGAACTCGGTCTAGAGACGGAAATCAGGGAAACTATTAACAGAAGATGTGACAGTATTGAAACGATTAAGATGCCAAGGGGTTACTTGACCCGCTGTCAAGGAGAGAAGATTTATTCTGACTCGTACCATTACGCAAAGCTTGTCAAAATATCAGGCGTTTCTTTGATTTTGAAGGCCAATTTATTCAAAGTGAGAAACGTCAAGTCTGCAAGCAAACAGATGGATGTTGAATCGTTTCAACTAACTTTCAAAATAGAAGATCCTTTGAATGTCGATCGAGTGTTTCAGAGTGACGAAATATCCGAAGCTTTCCGAGAAATTCACAAGATGATTAACTTCGCTTAAGTATATTACGAGTCGACGCATCTCACCAAAATAGGATTTAGTACCCTGGTCATCAAACTGGTTTACACATTATTCTTTCTAGCTATTTTTGTAAAATATATGAATACAACTCATACGTTACACTTTTGTGGAACTCATCTCAATTATTCCATTTGATTTTTAAATTAAAGATCAACAATTATTATTTATAAAGATTGAAGAACATATATGCTAATGGTGGTTTTTTTTCTTACTAATTTCGACAATTGACATTTCAATCAAAAAGTTGACAATTGACATTTCAATCAAAAAAGCAATGTTTTCTGGTAAGACTCTGGGGGTTCGGACCTTGCTTGGCTGTTATCTGGGCAATTTTTTGTGCTTTCAAGATTTTATGAATGATGCTGAAAGCGTAAACACGAATTATTCATGGGTAGCAAAATATCTCGCACTAAAATCTCTTCCAAATCGAGTTGATTACCAAATTCAGTTCGACTCGATTTTAACACTTAGTCTTTCAACATTCGAACAAAACAGAATATTTATGCTTGGGGTGGTTTTTTGTTTAGTAAATTTCGGCGATCGAAATAATGGTTTCAACAAACAATTTTTGTTACACAAACGAAGATATCGACTCCCAAAGATATCAATTTCAAAAAGATATTTTACCTCCAATCATTTTTGCAAAGTTCTGGGAGTTTGAATATTGCCAATTTGGCCATGCTCTGGAATAAGTTATGCGCGCTTTGAAGATTTTATTCGTAGTGCTGAAAGCGTAAGCTAACTATTTATGCGTGACAAGTTATCACGCACAGTAAAATCGTTCCGAATTAAATTAAAGTTAGCTAGGCTAGTCGATTGTATTAGTTTCGTAACTTGAAAATTCACATTTGATCTTTGATATTACCCAAATTTGATAGTTTTCATAGTATTTATTTTCCCAAAAACTAATTGTTAAGGATTAAGGGGCAGTCGGAACATTCAAGATTTTGCCTTGATATACGAGTAGTCTTGTTCTTTGGCTATGGTTATTTATAGACGAAAAACATCTAGTTTACCAAAAAGTTCTTTGCGAACATAATAGAGACCACTTACTGGACAGTAGAAACATTTAAAAGTTTGTTGAAGCTTAACTCTTTTTCACTTCTATTTCGTTGCTTGATCCAGAAAATCGCTGATATAAATACGAAAAAGGACCAACAACATTGAAGGTGTGCTTAAACACGTTTTATTTATGATAGGCAAAATTGTAGAAAAATACTGATCAAAAATAAAACTGAAAAAAGTCGGAACAAAAAGTTTTCATTCTATTTTCAAATGTTAACATTCAGTTAAAATTATTTTGATTGTATAACAAGTTTAGCCTGAAAGTTAGCCTAGGAATGGTTCGGTTTGTGCTCAATCTGTTTGATTTGAAATATATGAGAACTTTGTGATCAGCATTATTCCATAAACATGAAAACGCAGATTTTCTGTTCCCACTTTTCTATTTTTTTCTGATTTTGTTTCCAGAAACAGTAAACATGGATAGCAAAATTTCAGCCTTCGACATTTGCAATCTGAATGAATATACGGATGCCAACCCGAGTGGGCGAAGCAGCTATCACACAAAATTTCAAACCAACTGTTGAACCAAATGAGCATCTTTTAACCAATCAACCTGTCTAAAACTAAGCCGCCTGCCTGCCCGGGTTGACCAAAAGTGTTTATCATACAATTTCCATATATGGAAAACTTCTTGTCATACATTTCCATACTTACAAAAAATTGTATAAAATCTCTATTATAAACTTTTTTCCGAAATTTCCCGTATATGAAAATTGTATGACAAGAAAATTGTCATTTTTTTCAATAAAACAAAAACTTTGGTTTTTCATCACCAGACTGTTTTATTAGAATCAAATAGCCGCAGAATCTTTTTCATTCATTTTTCGAAACTGTATGAAAATTGTATGACAAGCATTTTTCCATACACTTGATGTATCGAATTGTATGAGAACCATATTCGGTATAGGGAGGTCAACCCGGGTGTATAATGTGACAAAATTTTCATAGTATGCATTTGAAATAAGTTTTTAGTCTGTTAAGCGGTAAAATTGCCTAGTTTGACTTTCAGACGTAGATAGTGCAGTGAGACAAGAATTACGTTTTTGTAGTTTTTGTACAAGTTTATTTGGCTGACTCAGATACAAATGTCGAAAGCAATTAGCTTATTTTTCAAGAAACTCAGATAAGCTTCATAATTTTATTTTCGAGCTAATTTTGTTTCGTTTAAAAGTTGACATGTTTGAATCATCTAGCAATGAAAAAATGTTCGAACAAGAATGAAATATAAGTGATCTGAATATAAAATTAACTTCAACCAAGCATAACAATTTATTCCTCATTTTCTTCGAAGGTCCTTTACGAGGCCAAAACTGTGTATTTTGTAAATTGTAGACGGAATCCGCAATAAGGTTGCTCTCTTTGATCTTTTTTTGATCTTGTGTTTCCTTTGATTTGCTGACAAAGTTTTTATATGTAAGAGAACATTTCGAGTGATAGAGTGACCTACATACTAAAAACTGTGAGCCTATCCAGTGCACAGCTTGACCTCGTAACGACGGAATAACCATCTTTTCTAGCTATTTTTTTCATTTATTAGCAAAACAGTCCATGTTTTGTAAGAACAGCAGATTTATAATAACAGCCGAGATTTATTATTACGAAAATTTTTGGTTCTACTGATTCCGTCATCAAGCAGAGTTCACCAGAGATTCTTTGAGTTTTATGTAACGCGTTGAGAGTACCTGGAAAAAATGGCACATTAGTCGGAAAAAATTTAAGTTATCAATTTCCCATTTCTCTTGTTTTTCTACAACGAGTGTCAAACTAGTTTTCGGGTTATTTTCGGCGGTGGGCTTATGATTAAAAAACCATCACATTCGGGGAGGATTTTTTCACTCCTCGGGGGCATCTAGCTCTCAATCAAGTCTCCAATTAGGGCACATTTATCACAAGGCGTTTGTAAAGTTTATGCTGAGTGCGTAAGTGGCTATTTCACCGCCTCTCAATCAAAAGGTAGGTGGTTCGAGGCCCTCTAGGATCAAAACTCGTTGTTTCTGAAAACAAAGTACACTAAATAGCTCAAAAAAAGGAAACAAAGTGCAAAGTGGCATGTAATTGTTAAGCATGGGCCTTGCAATCGTTCTTAAAAAAAGTTAATTAACTTGTAAGTTGGTCCTTTTACCGCATAAAAATATGTTAAATTAAAAGCTGAACATAATTTTATGCAAACATCAACTTCCAATGAGGAACGATTCACGGCTTCAAAACTATTTAAAAAAATATTCATACTTCTGAGTTTCTAACAATTTATTGCATTTTTTTCAAGTAAATATTTTTTAGTGCCAGTTTTCTCGCATTTTTAGTTTCTTCGTTGTTAAATAAATTTTGTATCTGCAAAAAAAAATGCCAAGGAATGCATTGGTATCCAATTCAGGCTGGAACTATTCCAACTACTCCAATGATTCCTTACGCAAGCACACAAAACTTCTTGACGTTCCGATGTTTCAAATACAAAGTAAGCTGCCTCGAACAACGGTTAGCAGATCGACTTATCAATTCGGAGAATCTTCATCCATTGTTAGAGGAGAATTGCAATCACATTTTAACTTTGACGAATTTTGGTGAAAACATTAATGACGGCTGCTGAGAGCATTTTTGGCATTTTACAAAAAAAACGTTGCGACTAAAAAAATAAAGTTTTTAGGAGCTTAAAGGAAACTCAAAAAAGTGAGTTGAGTGAAAGCAGTCCAACAAAAAGTCGACAAAAAAATTTGAGATTTTATGTAATTGCAATATGCTTGTAGATTACCCTCCCTGTAGAAGTTACTTCCATACCTGCCACAAAACCACCTTTTTTCGTAAATGAAACCGAAGCTTTTGTGACTATAGACACCTTTTTGGCTTTGCCGTGGATCTTCTTTTGTTTTTTTTTCCTTTGATCGTTCCGAAAAAGTTTTAACATGTTTAAAAACTTTGTCTCTGGAGTCCAGGAACATACAGAAACAAAAATAGGTGTCTATCGAGTGCACAGTTTGGCCTCGTAAGGTTATAGTGACGCTTTTTAGATAAATATTCGGACTTCAGAAAAAAATGTCCCAAGATTTGACAAACTGCAACAAATTAAAACTTGTATAAATACGCAATAGCGGCAACTCGCAAATGCGACAAAACTCCTGTATATAGCTTAAATATTCCTGTAAACAGCAATGTATTCGCAAGAATATATAAAAAAAATTGATTAATAGGTGTAAAAATTGCCTCTAGAAGCAGATAGTGTTACGCAGTGAATGAGGAAAAATATAAAGTTTGCTGATAAAAACTCTAAAACAAATTAAGATAGGGTTAATTACTTGACCGCACTTTCTAAGGGTTATGTCCGCAAATAAATTACTAAAATAAATTGCATGACCCATTTAACTATTGGAACAGTATATTCAGGATTTTCATTGATTATGATTAGCTTCAAGACCAAAATACAAAATTTTCCTTCTTAACCATTATAAGTGATTATAATCTAATTTTTTCTCAATATAACCGAATACTTTTTGTTCAAAAAATACATAAACATCAATTTATATTGTAGATGGGAAACATCTACCCTACTTTTTAGAACCAGAACAAACATTTTTATCCCCGTTTTCACCACCAACATTCGACCTTCGCCCATATTTTCACACTTCTCCAAAGCCACGTCCCCCTCCAAAACAACCACCAAAAAATAAAAAATATAATCCATTTTTGGATTTAGGCAATTAAAACTGAACGCTTGTGAATTAAAAAGAGACTGGCAATGAGAAACCAAAATATTCAACTGTTATCCATGAAACTTCCATGCGGGCTGTCTATGTTATCTTTCTTTTGAGAATCAGATATTGTCATTAGTTCTTTTTTAGAGTTTTGGCTACCTCCGAGTCGAGGCAAACTCTCTGTGTTTCGCCAGCATTATTGTATGAATTTTGGTATGTTTGGACCGTCTAGACCAAAACTTGTTCTATTCAGACCGTATTGACCAAATTTGGGCATGTTTTCATTTTCTCGACCAAAAAAGTGCTCGACCTTGCTCAACCCAAGCAAGATACGTTTAGACCATTTTGACCGAAAAAAACGTGCTCAATTTTGCTTGACTCCAGCGAGATAGAGCAAGGTTCAATTGTTAAAGTTCTCTAACAAATTA